ACGGAGACGTGGATGGGTCACACAGGGAGACGTGGATGGGTCACACATGGAGAGATGCCTAGATATCTGGACATAAACACTGGTCAGTCATTGGTCAGTGGGTCTGTCACCATCTCCACCACTGGGAGCTTGGAAAGCCCTAGAGCTACAGCTTCCCTGCCCTGAGCACCAAATTCACAGTGAGCTGACTCCCGGCCCGGAGAGGAGGCTCCCCTCCTGAACACCCCAGGATGCCGCGTGGGGAGCGCTTCCGTCAAACTCTTTCTGGAAAGTTTTGTTAGCCTTGGCAGGTGGGTGGGGGGCGGGAGAGTTGAGAAGAGCAGTGAACTCAGGGATCCAGGGAGGATGCGCTGTGTTCCCAGCCGCCCACTGCAGCCCCCTCCAGTGTGGGGGTGGGAGCCAGGCCTGCCAGCCTCTGTCTGTCACTGTCATGAGGAGAAAGATGACAGCCCTGCCCCCACCCGTCACTCAGCCAGCCTCCGGAGGCAGCTCAGCTGCCAGCCCAGAGATATCTGGAAAGACAAGCTAGTGGCTCATTGCTGTCCTTAGGGTGCCAGGATGGGGGTGGGCTGGGGATTGGCTCCTGGCCCACGGGGGCCTCTGGAATCTGCCTCCTCCTGCTTGTTTGGGGGCAGCGGTGAGCTGGGGGGCCCGGAGGCCCAGAGGCCTGGCTGTCCTGGGCAGGAGGGCTTGGCTTGGCTCTGCTAGGCCCCAGAGGGCAGGACCAGGGGGAAAGGACAGAGAGGCCCCCTGAGGCCCGATGTCTTCCCAGCCACGAGAGCTACCCGGGGTGGGGGGCGGGGAAGGGCAGCCAGGCGTAGGGTGGCGACAGTCTCATCCCTGGGCTCCGGCCTCCAGTGCCCTCATCCCTTGCCATGCGGCTGCCTGCCCTGCTCCAGAAGCCTCCGTGGCTCCCCACTGCCTCTGCCCCACGGCCTGGCCATGATGGCCACTCTGTTCACCTGTTCCTCCAGTAGAGTTTAAGTTCCTTTGGTTTTTACCCCAGGGTGTGGCAGAGGCCTGGCACACCATGGCTGCTTAGGTGGTGAAGGGGCTGGAAATGGGAATGAGTGAGAGAGACCAGGAGCCTCTGGGTGGAGGGGCCACAGGGCCTTTGTTAGTGGAGAGCAGCAGGAGGGCGGTTAGGGTTAGCCTCGGGGTGAGTCACGGGGATGAGTCCAGGATGGGCCACGCTGGTGGACAGGTGCCTTCCAGGCCCCGGAGGGCAGGGCCCGCCCTGGCGGAAGGCCCAGCGCTCTCTCTTTGTCCTGCTTGTGTTCTGCAGTGAGGCCCTGTGGCCCATTGAGGCGAGGAATGCCGCCATCGCTAACCATTGCTTCACCTGCGCCATCAATCGAGTGGGCGTGGTAAGGAGTGGCATGTCTTAGTCGTGTGTGTGTGTGTGTGTGTGTGTGTGTGTGTACTTTTGTAGGAGAGCATAAACATGTGTCTATGTATGAGTGCACATGTGTGAGCATGTGTATGTCTATATAAGAGTGCACGTGTGTATGCACGGTGGTATGCACATGCATGTATTTGTGGTATGTATGTGTGTGAGCATGTGTATGTAGGAGAGTATATGTGTATATGTGTGGTGTGTGGTGTAACCCTAATTGTGCATGAGTGCTTCTGTGTGAGCATGTGTATGTGTGTAAACATGTATGAATGTGTGTGCATACGTGTGATATGCGTGATCCACAGCTGAATTGTCTGTGTAGAGGAGAGAATGTTTCCTTTTGGATCCTTGAGGGACCCCTTCCCCCCTCTGCCCACTTTCCTGCCCCCCTCTGTGGCTCTCCTTTGCTGCCCCTGATTTGTACTAACAGGGAGCTGTCCCACTGTGGAGTGGGCTGGCCCAGAGGTGGTGAGCTCTCCATCCCTAGAAGACTCCACACCAGTCCTGGATGATCCCCTTGTCCGTGGGCTTCAGGGTTAAGGTTTCTCTAAGGACCCTCTCTGCCTCTAGGGTCAGTCAGACTGGACCAGGGGTGAGGAATCTGTGGCCTCGAGGCCCCACGTGGCCCTCTAGATCCTCAAGTGCGGCCCTTTGACTGAATCCAAACTTCACAGAACAAATCCCCTTCATCAAAGGATTTGTTCTATAAAACTTGAACTCAGTCAAAAGGCCACACCCGAGGACCTAGAAGGCCACATCCCCCACCCCTGGACAGGACAATTTCATTTCATATTTGAGGTGGCACATTGGACATGCCCCAATCTGGGCAGGTTGGGGACAGTAAGATACCTCTGAAAACCCTGTAGCTGATCCAGGGGCTGGCTGGAGGGAGGGGGTGCTCTGAGGACTTGAGGGCTGGGAGCTGTGGTGGCTCTGAGGACTTGGGGGGCTGTGGGTGGCTCTGAAGATTCTGGGAGCTGTGGGGCTGGGGCTCTGAGGACTTGGGGGGCTGGGAGCTGTGAGGGCTCTGAGGACTGGGGGGAATCTGAGGACTTGGGGGCTGGGAGCTGTGGAGGTTCTGAGGATTCAGGTGGCTGTAGGGAGGTTCTGAGGACTGGGGAGCTATGGGGGAGCTCTGAGGACTGGGGGGGCTGTGGGAGGCTCTGAGGACTAGGGGTGGGGCTCTGAGGACTCTGGGGGCTATGGGAGGCTTTAAGGACTTGGGGGGCTATAGGTGTCTCTGAGGACTGGGGGGGCTCTGAGAACTGGGGGGGCTGGGAGCTGGGAGGGGCTCTGATGACTTGGGGGCTGGGAGCTGAGGGGCCCCTTCTTTCAGCACCTTCTTCTGCACAGGAGCACTTTCCCAGAGAGTTCACGTCTGGGGACGGAAAGCCAGGTAGGTACGCAGGTGCTGCATGTGTCCCAGGTATCGGGTGGGCCTCAGCGGGATTGGGGGAGGGGCAGGCCCTTTGGGAGCAGGAGGGGGAGCGTGTGCTGCCCCAGGGGTGTCTGGGGAGGTCCCGGGAGCCCCCTCCTGTCCCCGCACTCGCTAGAACCAGCCCCATGAGGTGCCCTGGCCTCCTCTGGGTTTCTGAAGCACACTGCGACTTCGGCTATTTCTATGGCTCGAGCTACGTGAGCGCCCCGGATGGCCGCCGCACCCCAGGACTGTCCCGAACCAGAGATGGACTGCTGGTGGCCCAGCTGGACCTAAACCTCTGCCGGCAGATGGGTGACCTCTGGAACTTTAAGGTCTGGCCCAAGGCTCCTGGGAGGCTGCCTCGGGGCGGGCCCTGGGGTGGTCTGGGGGGGGGAGGGTGGGACAGAGAGATGGGGTGCTGAGCTAGTCTTAAGGAAGAAAGGGATTCTGGGAAGGCTGGGGAGGACTGTGGGGCGGTGCTGGGATGGGGCCGGTTCAACAAGGCCTCGAGTATAAGCGGGATTCTGATCCTGGGGCCCCAGGCAGCCGCTGACAGGCCATGTGGAGGATGGGGCGGGGCGGGGCTGGAGGCAGGCAGACTGGCTGAGACAAGGGAGGGGAGCCAGGAGGCGGGGGTTTGGGGGAAGCTAGGAAGCTGGAGATGTGAGATGGGAGGCAGTGACTGGGCTAAGGTCACCCCGGCAGGCGGGCAGAGCTGGGGCATGGGCACTGATTAGGCGCTTACTGTGTGCCAGGCTCTGTGGTAAGCAAGGTCTTGGGGATACAAAGACGTGGAAAAACAAGGGCCGGCCCTGTCCCTGAGAAGCTTCCCTTCCAATGGGGGAAGAAAGTCCTCCATCCACAGGAGCTGAGAGCGGGGCAGTGGATCCCGAGGGGTGGGAGAATTCACCCCGGCATGGCGCAGGGAGGGAAGACCCAGGCCACGAGGGAAGGACAGGATGAGGGACAACAGAGGGCGGAAGGCCCAGCTCAGCACAAGGAGGGTCCCACCTCCATCCCCTGGCTTGGTGGAGAGCCTGGGGCAGGGGGCCGGGACAGGGGGAGACTGGCCTGTGTCGTGCCCCTCAGATGACTGGGCGATACGCGATGTATGCAGAGGAGCTGGCCAAGGCATCCCAGCCAGACTACAGGCCCCATGTCATTAAGGAGTAGAAGCCCCAGCCTCATGGCAGAACCGTGTCTCCATCTTCGTCATCTCCTTCCTTCCCTCCACACCTCGGCAGCCGGGAGGGTCCCAGGGCTGCCAGAAGCCCCTGCGGGGTATGAGCAGCACAGGCCTGGGACCTGATCCCAGGCTACAGAGGGCTGCCCCCTGCTGGGGGTCACAGCGAGGCCCGAGCCCAAAGGAGCCCAATGTCCCCTGACCCCAGCCCAGTCCAGCCCATCCCCAGGCTGAAACCCTGACTCCTGGCCTCCTGCTGGCCAGTGTGCAAAGGCTCTGGGAAAGCCTGGTTCTTGTATACAGGAGGCACCTAATAAACATGCAGAAACAAAGGCAGAGTGCCAGCCCAGATCTGAGAATCATGGGGAATGCAGGGGCCACTGTTCCCAGCCTGGAGTCAGCAGGTTACGGTTCCAGTCTCGCCTCTGGCTGGGCCAGTAACGTGGGGCCAGTAATTCCTTCAGCCTCTGTCTCCTGGGTGGTCCACAGCTTGCGAGTGTCATGAGAAGGTGCCGGGCTGGGGCCTTTTCGGAAGCCACTGGTCAAAGCTGAGAATGGCCAGCCCAGAAGGGGGCTGCTCCCCTTGCCAGCACTGATTGGCCAAACCTACCCCAGACCTGGGCGGACCGGGTTATCGGGAATTACCTGGGGGTGGGAGTGGGCAGGTGGGGATGGGACGGCTGCTGGCCCAGGCACCCTTCACCAGCTTCTGTGGCCCCACACCAGCCGCCCTGACAAGGTGAAGTTTTCTACCAGACCGTGGTTCCATTTCCCCTCAGACCCACCTAATCTATCAAGGCTAAATGCGGAGCCTTCCCCTCGGTTACAAAAAGGCAGCCTCACAAGGACAGGGGGAGGTGTGGGGAGACAGCAGTTGGAAGAGGATCAGGGGGGATTAGTGGGCCACAAGCTCAAAAAAGATGGGCTGGCGTGGAACCCCGAACCACAGACCTGGAGGTTCTTCTACGGACGGGACCGTAGCAACCTCTAGTCCAGACAACATCCCCATCGACTTTGGCAAGACCCCCACCTTGGGGAATGGAGTGGGGCTACCTTTCTGGAGGAAAGCCCACTCCACACTGGGATGGCTAGGAAGTTTTCCCTGACACCCAGCCTCAATCAGCCCCCCTCAGGCTACTGTGAAGATGCCACCATGACCCCGAGGCTTCTCTCGTCCAGCTACATAAGCCTGTTCCTCCTGGGGCCATGGCTGCCTCCTCTGGGCACCCCCTAGCCCAGCCTCAACGCCCTTCTGAAAGCCCCAGACTGACCCCAATCTCCCAGACAGCTGTGGGGAGGGCAGGGGGGCCCAGAGGGAGGGGAGAGTCTCCTCCCATCCCTCCTCCTCTTTAGTCAGGTCAGCTTCCTTTGCGTCTTGGTGCTTAGCACATGATGTATGGTACATAGTAAGTGCATCCTCAATGCCTGTGGACTGACGGTGGCTGGAGAAGACAAGGCAGGTGTGTGCATGTGTGCGGGGAGCTGTCTTCCAATGTCTGAAAGGCCCTCAGATAGCGGAGGGATCGCTCAGCCCCGAGGGCGAAGCTGCCTAGACAGTAGCGAGTGAGCTCCTTCTCCTCAAGCAGGCGCCCACTGGGTAGATGAGGACACCGAGCCAGACAAAGATGAAGTGACTTGCCCAGGGTCACACAGCTAGGAAGTGCTGGATGCCAGCTTTGAACTCAGGTCTTTCTAACTCCAGGCCCAGTGCTCTGTGCAGTGGCGCCCCACTACGCCCAGCTGAGGCCTCTCCTTTCTCTCCCCTCTCCAAACAATTCCTTTCTAGGGGATTTTGCTCCAACCTTTGGTTAAAGCCAACCCTGACTAGCTTGGCAATGTACAGATGACCTGTGGGATGTGGCTCAGTTTCCCGGCCCGTTCAAGCACCGTTCCTCCAGGGGAAGGACTGCACGTTTAGACTGAAGCCTGACGATTGAAATGTGTTCTCAAGCCTAGGCTGGTGGTCACCAGGCTAAGGGTGATGGGGGAGATGGGCAGGAAGGGACAGGCTGCGATCTGCCTTGGTGGATCAGATCATGGATCCATCTGAGACTTTGTTGTTAGGGATGGAAGGTTCCCCCCTTAGACCATTCACTCCCTGAAGGAAGGGCCTCTTCCCTCCCATCTGACTTTGCATCCCCAGTGCTGAACACCTGCCTTCCACGTGGGAATAGTGAGGATGCAGATGAGAGAGGACGAAGGTTAGCAGGGATGGAGGGAGCGAGTTTTCCAGGATTGGGGACATAGAGGCATTTGTAGGCAGTAGGGGAGGAGCCAGGAGCCGACTGAAGGTAAATGACGGTGGGGGCAGTCTGAGCAGATGGAGGGGTTGGCCTTGGTCAGGAGTGATGCCACCTCCTCCTGGGAGGCCCAGAAGGAGGAGAGCCGGGCAGAAGGCGTCTGGGTGATGGCAGATGATGAGAGAGGGGAAAGGGAGGCGGGGCTCTGGCAAACCGCCATTTTTCTGTAAAATAAGAGGCAGATTCTCTGCTGAGAGAGTGGGAGGTTTGGAAGAGCTGCTGAGGGCGGGAGAAGCAGCGATGAGGGGCTGGAGCAGGACTGCCTGGCAGCAGCGAGCTTTGCTCCTTCCTTCAGGAGCCTCTGTATACATGAGAAGGTGGCAAAAAGGGACCCAAGGATGAGGGGGGGCTGCCACAACAGGCAAGAAGGGGCCAGGGCCCAAGCACAGAGTTGGACTGGTGTGCCCGAGGGTCACGATGGGACGGGAGGAGAGCAGAGCCACTGTAGGGGAGATGGCACATGAGAGAACCGATGGGCCGAGGGCCTGGAGGTCACAGTGATGGAGAGAGGGCTTCAGAAGGGAGATAATGGTGGAGATTAGGCCAGAGCAAGGACTACCAGAGGGCATGGGCACTCCCAGGGCAGCCCCAGGGGGTGAGGCCGAGTCAAGGGCAGGACCATTTCCGTGGGTAGCTGAGGTGGGGCAGTCTGGAGCTTCCACCAGCAGGAACTTGGAAGGAGCAGAGGCTACCAAGGGATGGTGGCAGGACTCTGAACGTGCCACAGGGAGCAAGGAGCATTCCGGCTCTGCCTGCAGGAGCGGCGTCTGCACACCGCAGGCCAGAACACAGCTCTGGTTCCTGAGAATATGTCTGTGTGGTGACCCCTTAGAAAAGGAAGCAGTGTCAGCGTCGCGCCAGCCAGACCGTTTCCTTTGTTTGGCAGGATGACAAGAGGCGTGAGCCAGGAAGGCTGGGGGCACAGCTTCCGTAGGTATGAGTTAAGCATTTGACAGACGTCCCCCACGGTCCTTGCAGAAAAGGTGGCGGGGTGAAGGCTGGATAAGAGCATGATTGGGGCACCACGCGAAGAGGCTGAAGAGCATCTTTAGGACCTCACCGGTAGGAGGGGCCTGAGGCCATCCAGGCTCTGCCCAAAGGTCTCCAAGCAGGCATAAGCTAGCGAATGTGCACATGGAGCATCGGGCCTCTGCCTGTCTGGGCTCACCGTGCAAGGAGCCTTCTTGTGCCCTCCTTGCCTTGCACGTCCCACCTCTGCTTTCTCTCACCACTTCCCTTGTCTGTGTCCTTTTCTCTCTGTTCACACCACCACCAACTTCCTCACGCAGGCCCTCATCGCCTCTCACCTGGACTACTGCAATGGCTTCCTCAGCGACAGGTCTGACCATGTCACTCCCCTGCCAGAGAAACTTGCAATCTCCCCATCGCCTTCGGAACACATACTCTTCTGTCTCTCTGCCAGCCGGCTCCCTTCTAAGCCCCCCGGGGCAACTCTGGCTCCTCTCACAGCTCTACTCCAGGAGGGCTTGCCCCACCACACCCCTCTGCTCTCTCACTCACTTCCCACGGCCTCAGAGGATTCCCCAAGTTATTGGTGCACACTCAGGGTGCGCTTGGGACTGACTGAGGGACGACAGGAACTGAAAACCTGCCTCCAGAGCCGCTTCTTCCCGTCCTTCCCCACCTGCAAAGAACCCAAGCCTTTGCACATCTCTCCCTCCAAGAGCTACTCTGACTTTAAGGGGCCCTCTCCCCTCCCCCTTCCTCCTTCTTTCTCACTGTCTCTGTGTATCACTTCTGCTCGCAATTGCCAAAGTTGATCAGGGATTTTTTTTTTAAATATAGAGGTCAGTGGTGTTTATTGAATGGCTCATTACAAACAAAATATATTTATGTATAAAATTTCTCTGCATGTAAAACATCCCTTTCCTGTGGTCAGAGGAAATAAAACCCACCGTATAGCAAACGGGGCAGTGCAGGTTTCCAGCATGGTCACCCACCCTTGGCCCTAGCTGGCTGGCAGCGATCCCTCTGGATCCGAGACAAGCAGCTGCTCCCCCAGCCAGGCTTCCCGATTGGCACAGGTACCCCCCACTCAGCGCCCAGGGCCAGGACAAAGGCACCCACGTTTGCAGGGCCTCTGGCCACCAGTTGTATTCCCAGCCTCGAATTCAGCCATGAAGATGCTGCTCTGAGCCTGGCTCACTTGACCTATCCCGCTTAACCAGTTTTGTTTCGCTCTAGATGCTCTGAAAAGGACCCATTTCATTGCAGCCCCAGCAGAGGAATACCTGCAGCCCCACTGGCCTGGGTTCAAAAGCAGCAGGCTCACGGCTTGGGAGAGCACCTGATGGGGATGCCCAGAGGCCCTTCAGAGCCGGCCGCCTCTGCTCCTTTGTCCCACTCTGACTAGCATTCTGAGCTTTCAACAGGCCGGGTGTCTGAGCCTGTCTGCACAGCTGCTGCAGGGGCTGAGAACTGCCCACCATGGACGCTTCGGTCTTCCTGCATTGGCCGGCACCCGGTCTCACGTTCCCTGTGACTTCTCTTTAGAAAGAAGAATGGGGCTTTCCCACAGGCAGCAGCCACCCCACCAACCGCAGAGCCCACCCTGACTGAGGCCCAGCATCCCCCTGAGCTGTGCCCTGGGATCCCACTGGGAGGCGGTCTGAGCCTTGGCTCCCTGCTGCTGGGCCTGCTTGAGCTCCGGGACAAGAGTCCGCACCGGGGGCCGGCGTCAGGGGCTCAGCATGCACGCTGACTGCTCTTTTGGCCACATCCTGGCAATAAAGGCCACTATAACCCTGGCAAGCCTAATCAGCCAAGGACCAATCAGAAGATCCCTGAAGGGGTCCTTGGAATCATCCGCGCCAAAGCCAGACCTAAATTGGCCCTGGCTACGGGACGGGAGCTGGACTGACGGCAGCAGGGCTCCCGTGCCTGGCTCCCGGCCGTCCCAAGGGGCCAGTCGGTCCTCTGCTTTACCGTCTGGATCCGTAACCCAAGTCCCTCTCGCCAACGCCTGGGGCCAGAGGGCAGGAACAAAGCTTCCTGCCTGCCAGCCACACCCTAGAGCCCTAAGCATCTCTGTCTCTTCTCCTACAGGAGGCCAGGCTTGAGCCCAACTCAGAGCAGAACCTGGCTCCTCGGGCAAGCACAGAATCTCTGAGCTGGAGGGAAGGCTCCTTGAGGGCCTCTGACCCAACCCAGCAGGGACTGACCAAGAAGAGATCTCCCCTCTGACCTCCCAATGTGCTGGTTTAAACTAGTGGTCATCGGCCTCTACCTCAAGACTTCCAGTGTGTGTGTGCTGGGGTGGGGGTAGGGGAGCCTCTCCCGGAGGCAGCCCCAAGACCAGGCACAATGGACCGGAGGTGCCCAAAGACCTCCTCCCTGATGGAATCAAGGCAAAGTAAAGAGTGGGCAGATGGCGGGCGGGCATGCTGGTCACTGCGTGGAGCATGAGGGGGACAGTGGGACTCAGCCCTCTCCACCCAAAGGCTGGGCGATGGGACCCCTCCTCTCACAGCAGAAACAGCAAAGGTGCCACGCTGGCTGGCCATGACGAAGCCGATGGGCTTATCTGCTTGGGACCTAACGAATATGGATCTCGGTTTGGAGAGCGGTGGGAGAGGGTCCCTCTGCCTGCCAGGGGCTGTTCCTCTTTGTGGAGGCCCCCAGCCCCAGGGGAGGCAGCGGCAGCAGCAGCAGCAGCATTGCTGGGGCAGGCCAGGCAGTGGGCTGGCCGCTGAGGTCAGCTGTGGGCGGAGGCACAAAGCCCGGGGCTCACGGGCTCCGCGTCCACACCCGGCGTCCGAGGGTTCAGCAGCAGCAGCCTGAGGTCAGCTGTCGGTGTAGACAAAAAGGATGTCCTCGTCAGTGCCGTAACTGGTCCTGGCTTCCTCAAAGTTGGTCACGCTGGTGCTGCACACGCCTGTGGAAGAAACATCACAGACGCCGCGCTGTCACACCGGACCCCCACTCCAGCCCACGCGCATCTTCCCTTCTGCCCGCCTGACTCTGAGGTAGCGACAGGCTCGGCAGAAGCTACTCACGGTCTGCGTAGGCTGGATTGTTGTAGAAGATGCTCTCGGAGGCCCGGTTGTAGCCGCACAGCACAATGAAGTGGCCCTGGTAGGCAGGACCCCTGCAGAAACACTTCTGGCCAATGGGCAGGAAGCAGCAGTGCTTGACGGGACTGGAGCACAGGTCACACAAGAGCAGGACTGCATCGACCAGGACGATGGCCACGTGCCCCTGGGCCAGGTGCTCCTGGATGTCCCGGACAGTCACGGTGCTGGGGGAGGGGAAGCCTGAGCTTAGTCCTGGGGAAACGCTGACCCTGCGGGGCGTGGGCCTCTCAAAGCCTCCCTCACCGGCCCCACCAACCTGGCAGAAGGATGCTGGCCTTCTCCCCCGGGGGATTATGGGCCCCTCCGGGGCAGAGACTCTTGTTTGCCTTTCTTTGTGTCCACAGTAAATGTTTACTGACTGACCTTTTCTGGCAGACAGGGGTAACCGGGCCACGTGAACACTAGTACCGTGTGGCTCTGACATCTGGAAGCACTGAGGCGACAGATCCTCCTTGGCCAGGCTGCTCCACATTAGGAGAGCTCTCATGTTGGATCTGCCCTTCGGGGCAAGGGAGAACAGCTTGAACCTTTTTCATTGACAGCTTCCACGGCTTACCCCCTTGGCTCTTCCAAGCTAAATATCCCCATCATGGGGCCAAGTTTCAACAAGTGCCCTAGGATGGCCTGCATTCCTAAGTCCAGCCGATCCCCTAGGGCTAGTGTGCTCTGACCTTTGAACTAAACATATGCTTTCTCTCAAAGACTGTCCTCTAACTTAGCAACAATCTAATCCTCTGGAATTGTCTCATAGACTTTAAGTTGAGGATCTGAGCTGGGTGATGCCCTTAGATGAGCTCCTTCTATTTACCCCAAAACCCCTTCACATGGTACCCCCTTTCTTTCCTCTCCTGGAAGTCAACCTGGACTTCCTCACTGCCTCTGACCCCCACATTCAGTATTTTTCCAAAGCCTGTCCCTTTCACCTCTGCAGCATCTCTGGTCCCTTTCACCTCTGCTGCAGCTCTGATCCATTTCACCTCTGCAGCATCTCTGGTCCCTTTCACCTCTGCATCATCTC